CACCAGCCAGCTGATCTGACCACTCCTTATACACCTGCCCAGGTGTGTTATCAGGCCCTGGGGCCTTCCTTGGAGTGACTTTATCCTGTCATATTCAGTGCTTAAATATATATTTGTGTTTTTCATTGACTTACAGCTTCTGTGTGATATTCTACCCTCATGGAGTTGGGCTGCGGTGAAGCTCTTCATGGCTTCCAGTGAGGGGACATTCATTCTGCTGGTCATAACTACCCTGGCACATCACTGGCTGTCAATCACCCATTGACTCCTCCTCCTTCACTGCTGCACTCCGCTCACATCCACCCAGCAGAGCAGCCATCAGGTGAATCAATCAGAACTGTTCATCCACCAATATTCCTTCCAACGTCACCGTCCGCCTCTTCTGTCCTTCAGCGTCAAAAAACGGAGCTGAGATACTTTAAGCTCCAGTTGAGATCAATTATTCCAATCACACACATTTTAAAATGTCATTATAATAACAGATCTAAGTTTAGTTGAATTATTGGATGCAAACTCTTGGTACTTCAACACACCAGGAAGCATCTCTATAAAAAATATTGATTTTATACTGACTGGCTTAAAAGTTTCATCAAATGCAGACAAACTTCTCACCTCAGGCATGAATGAAGTTTTTGGAAGTAGAGAACAAACCAACGTTGAATGATCCCAGTTATCCTGATTACAAAAATCCACAACGAAAAGAAAATGTTTTAAACTGCATCTCTGATGCACTTTTATTAGTTTTAGTCCCACTTTAGTCGACTAAAACTAAAAAAGGTTTTAGTCTAGTTTCTGTCAGTTTTATGTTGTTGTTGAAAACTTATTTCTAGAATTAAAATTTTTTATGAAACACTTTAGACTGGGAGACAAACTATTGTGTTGCTTACAGCTTAAAACAGAGAAATGAACCATTTATGGTGTAGCAGCTATAAGAATATAAACTATGTAGGGGAAAAGGAAACCAGTATAGAAATAATGGAGCAGAACAGCTTTGATATGGATCAAGGTTCAATGCAAAATAAATAAAATGGTACAAAATCCAGTAGAACATGGAGTTCTGTTCTATTTAAAAGGATTATAAAAGTTTCAACCATCAGTGGTGCAAAAATAATGTTGCAAGTGTGATGCAGAGACTTGATTAGAGACCATTTTTCTTTTATTTTCTCCTGTTCTTTACCTTTTTTGCCTTCTCTCTGTTGTTCAGGCTTTCACATATTAAAGTAACTGCTGACGCCACAGCAGTAAAGATCAAGCAGCTCACTATTAATCAGGGTGATCATCTTCCTGTAACCAGTTACCTTCATTTTAGGAATAAATCAGTGATGCATCTGATTCTAACATGCTGGACCCTACAATGGCTCTTAATACTGTCTGAACGATGAAAACAACCAACTAATGGCTTGGAATAAAGTCTATTAATAAATAACATTCTGAGGAGTTT